CATCTGCAAGGTAAACCTTTCCAAACTATAATTAATAATATAGTTAAATAAATAAACTTGAAATACAAAACATCAAATTAGCAATATTTTTCACCTTTTTACTACATTTAAATATTTTAGATTTCCTATCCATATGAAATCAATAAATCAAAAATAGAAATTCTAACATTGGTATTTTCACGTGCTCTTTTCCTTCATCTTATTGATTGATTATTTAAAATATTCTAAATAAAATATATTTTAAAAGTTTTTTTTTTAATAAAGTTATCTTATTTCATTACAATCTGTGTGAGAGTGTAGATTAGTATACAATAATATGTATGAGATGTCCTTTTTACTTTTGTTTTTATTTTTATTTTAAACTCTAAATTTTAATAAACAATAATAATAGAGTAAATTATTATTTTTATCATACAAATTAAAAAAAAAACTTATATACATATTTAAAAATAAATTTGTTGACTTATTTAAAATTAAATTTATTAACTTATTTAACATTACTAATATAAAATGAATTTTTAAATAAGTCAACATATCTGACTTTTGAAAATGTCAGACAGATTTATAAAAAAAAATTATAATAAATAATAAGTTGGAGCAAACCTATAAAAAATTTATAATAAATAATAAATTATGGTTAAACTTTAATTTTATAAAATAGATTTTAATTATATATTCAAAATCTAATATAATCTATTCTTATCTTTTTAAGTAAGAAATTAAAATTAATGTTGTTTTATATATGTATTTTAAAACAAATATATCATGAAAAACATTAGCTATCATATTATACTAAATATACTAATTTAAATAGAACAGACTCAAAATTTATCTTCGATATATTTAAAATAAACCTAATTACATAATATCAGATTGGTCAAACTAACCTGAAATGCAAATCAAATCCACAGGACAAGTTACTAGGTTATTGGACAGCATTGGATCTTGCACATTGTAATATATTATAAATTTAAGTTCTTATTTAAGAGAATAAGGCTTTCATTCTCTTAAAAAAAAAATTCTCAAGATGACTAACAATTCAAAAACGGATGAAGAATTGAGTTTTTCTTTCTTTTTCAAAAGATCTGTTATATTGAGTATATTAAAGATATAGTTGTTGAATTGAAAAAAAAAAGGATTAAAACAAATACAGACAATTCAATTGATGACAATAACTAATTAAATTTCTAGTATTAAAAAGCACAAACCATGCAAGATAAGCATAATTCACAGTCAGATAAACTGCACAAAATAAACAAGTAGATTAGATAATAGTATATCGAGATTTATCTTGATTTGATCACTAACCAATTGTGACTTATGTTTCCAAGTTAAATTTAAGATTTTCGTTTTCACTGTAAATGTCAAAGTATTATAGTGATTTAACCATTATAGAGACAATGATATGTCTCATCCAGAAATTCTACTGGAATATATATCACTCTTTTTTCTAAAAATATTAAAAAGAAAGCAGGCTAGGGACTCACTCAGAAATGATTCATGAGAGACTTAAAAGATGCTTAAGGAAGGTTTCAATACCTACTCATGTTGTTTTTCTGAGATATTTTATCCATGAATGGATTTTTTTTTTTAATTTAAAAAATTTAGTTTCAATTCATTTGGAAGTTTTAAATTGGTTTGAGCCAATCAAGAATTTTTTGAGAGACCTTATTATATATAACATAGATAGGGAATGAAGGCTACACATTTATTGTTTTTTCATCAAAACCTCATATCTTCCATATATTTCAGATCTTTAAAAGTTATAGTTTAAAAAAATTGATAGCAAAAGAGAGTATATTATCTTTATTATATTTATATATTATAAATATAAGTCACATTTTAGTGTTAGCACGACTTTTTAAGAGTCTGGCTTTTCAATAAAAGTCTATTTATGAATAGTGAAAATAATTTATTTACTAACAAATAATTTGATATTATTATTTAAGCATAAATTATTATATATAATAAATTTGTTAACTTTTATAATAATTATTTTAAAAATTATAATAAAAATAATTTTAATTCATCAGTTGTGCAAAAATAAATTTATACTATGCATAGCGATTATTAAACTCTTAAAAATACACTTTATAAGTTATAACAGACATTTAAAATAGGTCAACACAAAACCACACTTTAGATAAAGTAATGATTCTAAGCTAATATGTATGTTAGTGAACTTTGGTTTTTAAAGAAACTAATATATAATTTTAAAATATTATAATTAATACAATAATACTAATGATATTTACCGTATTATTAATTTGTACTTACTTATATATATTGGTTTATTAGAATTAAAATAATAATGAATCACTAGAATCAATTTAAAAATAAAGAATTTGAAGTAATATGTACAAGAGTCTAAATTTAATCTTAGTATTATTATTTTAATTTTGATGGTTAATAAAAACAGTTTATAGTAATATAATTCGTTTTGTATAAATAAAAAAGACTTTTAAAAAATCACTACCTAATATATATATATATACACTAAATAAGCTATTTCAACTTAAATTTAATGTAAATTAATTTAATAAGTACTTAATATATCAGCTAAATAATTTTCATGCCCAAATATATTCCATATTACTATTTTAAGTCATTATAATTTTAGTGCTTACAAGAGTTAGATAATTTAGATGGTTATAAATTGAATCATTATCACCATTATAAATGAGAAAAATGTGTTCAAACTTCATATTACAATATTTAGGTTTAGTAATATAATCCCTTTAAAAAAAAGGTTTAGTAATATAACCTACCGTAATTGGAAGGGTAAATAATTAGAAATGTATCTTGAAATGA